ATGTCCCTAGCACGGACACATCTGGCCAGGGCCGGCGATCCCCGGTGCAGCGATGTCGGAAGCCGTGGATCTGTCCTTCCTGTCGGACGTGGAGAGAGAATTGATCCTGCAGGTCCTGCAGCGCGACGAGGAGCTCCGTAAAGCAGAGGAGAGGAGAATCAGGTGTGGACGTGGCTGGGGCTGGGCAGGAGCTGGTTCCCTGCTTTGCTCTGGAAGTGGGTGGAGGAATGAGAGTGCTGGTGATGGGGGTTCCCCGGGGCGGCTCTGACAGCTCCCGGTGTCGGGTCTGAGCAGGCGCTTGAAGAATGAACTACTGGAGATCCGGCGCAAGGGAGCCAAGCGGGGCAGCCAGCGGTACAGCGAGCGGACCTGCGCCCGCTGCCAGCAGAGCCTGAGCCGTGTCAGCCCCAAGGCCAACACGTGCCGGGGCTGCAACCACTTGGTGTGTCGGGACTGCCGTTCTTACAGCCCCAACAGCTCCTGGCGCTGCAAAGTCTGCACCAAGGAGGCGTGAGTACCTGGGGACAAGTGGCAGAGACCTTCTGCGTGTGCTTCCTGTTCCCTTCCTCTTCCCAGCTTGATGCCCCATGTCTGACCTTTCCTAGCCTAGCTGGTCCTCTTCACTGCAGGACAGCTGGCTCTGCTGTTGCTGCTGGAGTGGGTTTCCATGGTTGGGTGATGGAGAATTGAGTCACACCCCAATCTTGTGTCTCCTCCATGCCCTCCTCACTCCTCCCCCCCCCTTTACTTGACTCCAGCATCCCCCAGTTCCCCTTGCACAGCCTGTGTTTCAAGTATCCCAGGTTTCCTCCTTCTTGGCCTCCCTTGTCCTAGAAAACCTGTCTTGCTCCCATGTTTACTGGGGATGTAGCTGAGCCCGTCAAATGCCCAGTGAATTGTCTCTGCCCAGTCGCCTGCTGATCATGCCCACTGTGTCTGTGTTCTCCTTGGGTGGTGAGAGCACCAAGGGTGGGTTTGGGGTGCAAGGATCAGCCCTCCACTGCCCTTGCCTGCCCCCCACCACCTCCCTGCCCTGCAGTGAGCTGAAGAAGACAACGGGTGACTGGTTCTACGACCAGAGGGTCAACCGCTTCGCCAACCACCTGGGCAGTGACATGGTGCGGCTGTCCCTGCGGCACAGGCCGGCAGGTAGGGGTGCCACAGCAACATCTCCTCCCACAGCTCAGCCATCTGGGATGCTCCCCCTTTCCCCAGTGCACCTTGCACAGTGTGGAGCTGGATGGGAACAGCTCCTGCTTCAGGCAATGGGCTTGGAGCAGAGGTCCTCCTGATGCTCTCTCTTTCCAGCCAGCAAAAGAGAGACTGTGGGACAAACCCTCCTCCAGAAAGCTCAGCTTGGTGAGCCCAAAAGCTCCTCTGCAGCCCGGCAGCCGAGCCCCCCTGCACCCCGGGAGGGATCCAGGTAAGAATCCTTGCTGTCCCACCTGCTCCAGGCACCAGCCCTCATCTGCTGCGGGGATGAGAGCAATGCCGCCGCCCTGCTTGGATTATTGGTGGCACAGAAGCTCTCTCAGACCAACTTTCTTGCCAAACAGGACATACCTGTGGTTTTGTTTGTCTGCAGTTTGTTTCCAGATGCCTCAGACCCTCGGGATGGCAAAAGTGACACAGAGTCCATGGAAAACATGAGCCTGGATGGCTACAGATCTAGTCCTGGTGATGGGGGGGGCAGGTGAGGGGCTCCCCAGATGGGTTGTCCTTGGCAAGACTGGCTGGAAAAGAATGAGGACTTTCATCTGAAGTGTGTTTTCTTGGTCTAGTGAGGGGGAGCTAGCTCTTTTGGCTAGGCTGAAACTTGTCCCTGGGCAGGCATGTCCTCTGCTCCCAGGCTGGCGTGTTATAGGGAGCTTATGTGCCTCCAAGGAGCCTGCGTGGAGATGGTACTTTCCAGCCAGTACTTGCTCTCCTAGCTGGGCTCATGGCCTGGGACAGACCTTTCTGTGTCCTCTGCAGGAGTAACTCCCTGGAGAGAGCCATCCCTGGAAAACAGGTTGCTGCACCAGCAGGACCTGCTGCCTCCAGCCTGACCCTCCCTCTCCGCTCCAAAAACGCTTACTCCGACGGACGGGTGTGTGACGCTGCCCCAGCAGGCCCAGCCCTGTCCTGGGGCGTGGGGCTGGGAGTCCTGTGGGGTGCCCAGCCCTGCCCTGCTCTGACAGGACCTCTCCTCCCCAGGATGCCACTGCAGGGACCCGCAGCAGCGCCTTGGTGGACGAGCATGAAACGATATTCAAGAAGAACCCCCGGCGGGTGGTGAGGCCTGCAGGTGAGAGCTGCAGGGGTGCAGGGGGTTTGGGTGCCAACACGGCCAGGAGTGGGCAGCTGCTTCTCCCTGGGCTGAGGTGAGCTTTTGGTGCGGATGGGAGAGGCTGGGGCAGACCCTTGTCTGAGAGAGCAGCAGGGCTCTGCTAGTCCTGCTCCGTGCTGCTGCCTCCTGCTCACCACCTCTCGTGCAGACTACACCAAGTCGGTGATTGACCTGCGCCCCGAGGACTTCATGGGGGATGGTGGATCTTTGGGGGACAGGAGCAAGTCGGTCCCTGGCCTCAACATGGAGCTGGTGAGACCCTTGGAATGCCGTGGTGGAGGAGCTGGGTATCTAGCCGGCTGTACCCTGCTGCTCCCCACACAGTTGACTTGTCTCCCTCCTTGCAGGAGGAGGAGGAGGAGGACATCGATAACCTGGTGGAGATCCATCGTCAGCGGGTGGCCCGGGGCAGCATGCGCAGTGGCACCTCCTCAGTGAGTCCCCATGGTGTGGCCATGCTGTGCCCTGCTGCAGG